CACCATAAAGCTGGTTTCTACCCAAAACAAATGACTTCAAAGTGGAAATGGGAAAAATACATTCCAAAGCTCAGTGAAGGAAGTTCAGTTTTGTAATTATTAGTCAAACAACCCATATAATGTAATACTATCTATACACTTACCTGCACCTAAGTCCCATTTAATTCAACAGGAGGTATTACTGAGGAAACATGTACAGGATTGTTTGCTCTCTGTCCCCAGTTCCTCACAGAGGATACAATCAACACTGAGCTACCTCACCTCAGTGTCCCCTTCATTTTAAGGCCCAGGTTGACTACCGAGTTCTTGCACCCTTATGTTTGGTCCTGGCTATTGTCTCCTATTCATTTGACTTGTTCTCCCTCACTGGTGTAATCTCTTGCATATATAAACTAACAAGCCACCATTACATCTTTATACTACACACCCTTCCTTTGGGCATTTGCTGAGATTAATATAACACTTTTGTATAATCTACTTTGAGTTTGGAAATATATTTTTATTGACCAAGTGTTTCTTTCTGTTAACCACAAAGAAAGAAAGAAAGTTTATTGTGCTATCAATCCATTTGTCATGGGTAAGAAGCTAAAGAATACTTTTGGTAATATGTACTGTCATCTCTAGCGAAACAGACACTAAGGCATACAATTAAAATTATTCAAACAAATAGTACTCAGAATACTATTTGTATAAAAAGAGCCATATATGTAAATATCAGTTGAATCAGATTCTCACCATGAAAAATAGCATGCTATTTTAAAATGTATGCCAGATTTTCTTCTTTAGAAAGAGTAAAAACAATAACAGGCAAATGAACCACATGGTTATTCCTACTTATTTCTACTTCTTCTTGTTTCTCTCCAGATGTTACTCCCAGTTCTTATACCTTCAGCTTTCAGGAAGTATATAAACCCTAAAAGGGGAGTGGTGGGAGGAGATAGCAGATCAAATTTAAATCAGAAATTTAAATCTCTGGCTGATCAGCAGCACATCACTAAGACTTTTGAATACTTACTTGTTTAACAGTAGCAACAACAGGAGTCTTAAACTCCCGCCCCAAAACACTAAGCTACTGATGTTGAAGAAAGCTTGGTGGGGTAATCTAGTAGTGGAATCTTGTGTGTACTGGGATAATAATGGACTGAGCATATGATGGGAGGCATTCTTGTTCCTATGTTCTAAGAGTGTGCCCCATCTCTTCAAGTCACTGTTTTGCACGGGGATATGGTTTCTGGACTTTAGCGTGGCAGTCAAAAAAACAAAGTAGCGTTTGCAGAACACTTCATGCATTTTCAGATGACTCCTGAACTCACAAGGGTTCATAATATTCATACAAATTGAGGATTGGGAACTGATGGGTTTTCTTTGTGAAAACACCTTTGATTTGTAAGGTGCACAGCAACAGATGCAGCTGGACGCCATTTGTACCTATACAACAAGTTAACACTAGCTATATTGTATTGTGCTAAAAGAGATGTAGGATTGTAAGAGATTATGTTCAAAAAGGTAAGCAGGTTAGTCTCATCATAACAAAGGATTTTAGGGCACCTTTAAGGTTAACAGATATATTTCAGAATGACCTTTTTGAGATTATAAATTATCTCTTCAGATGTACTTGGGGAAACAAAATGCAATAAGTGAAAGCTCATGCTAAAATTAGGGGTCTTAAGGGTGCTACAAGACTCTATGTGTCACCAGGAACTGATTTTTAATTTTTTTTAATCTATATTGTAGCACCAATTACACCAGCTAGAATGCACCCGATAAATACTTACTGTGCATACATACTACTGCGAGAAAATAAATGTGGATGACTCCCAAGAGACCGTAAAACCTCTTCAATATGGACTACAGAGCTAGCAGCATGCAGCCAATGATCTTAACTAATCTAGCCAATTTGTAATTTGTAATATCTATCGCTGAACAGTTTAGCATTATAGAAAAAAATTGTTTAAAATTGCAGAGACATTAGCTCAATCTGAGGTTGGCACTACGTATACAAACACATGGCTCAAGCCATTTGGCTGTCCAAGGCAGAATAGCAAAAGACAACTCTTCCCCTTACCCAGCCCAGGTCTTCTGACTGTGAGGCAGAATATCTCATTAGCACTTCTTTGCATCACTGTCAGTAAAGACAGGGTAATAGCTATGCACATAAGAATTTCACAGGGTGCAGCCATGTTAGTTTGTTGCATGGCACCTTGAAGATTTACAAGCCAAATAAAACCTGTGAATCTTTTAAAATGTCACAAAATTCTGTATTATATTTTTTAAAATAAGAATCTGTTATAAGTTAGGCATCCTTCAGTCTCGAAAGACTATGGTACCGTGCTCTGTATGGAGGACTTGGAACAGCGTCTAGTGTGGCTGAGGAGGCCGATTCGAGAGTGACAGTCTCTTCCACACTGAAGACAAATCCAATCTGTCCCCTGTCCAGCTCCCTGGTTTTGCTGCTTTTGTGACTTCCTCTTTGCCTCAGCCTGCTGGGCAAGGGTCTCTTCAAATTGGGAGAGGCCGTGATGCAATGCCTGCCTCCAGTGACTTCCTCTTTGCCTCAGCCTGCTGGGCAAGGGTCTCTTCAAATTGGGAGAGGCCGTGATGCAACGCCTGCCTCCAGGCTGAACGCTCAGATGTCAGGGTTTCCCATCTGTTGAGGTCTATTCCTAAGGCCTTCAGATCTCGCTTGCAGATATCCTTATATCGCAACCATGGTCTCCCTTTGGGGCGATTTCTCTGCACTAATTCTCCATAAAGGAGATCCTTTGCAATTCAACCATCAGCCATTCTCACGACGTGCCCAAGCCAACGTAGACGTTGCTGTTTCAGTAATTTGTTCATGCTGAAAATTCCAGCTCGTTCTAGGACTACTCTGTTTGGAAGTTTGTCCTGCCAGGTGATACCAAAAATCCGTCGGAGGCAACGCATATGGAAGGTGTTCAGCTTTCTCTCCTGCCGTGCACAAATGGTCCAGGACTCACTACAGTACAGGAGCGTGCTCAGGACACAGGCTCTATAGACCTGGATCTTCGTATGTGTCATCAGCTTCTTATTGAGCCATACTCTCTTTGTGAGTCTAGAGAACATGGTAGCTGCTTTGCCAATGCGTTTATCCAGCTCGACATCCAGAGACAGGGTGTCAGAGATGGTTGAGCCCAGGTACACAAAGTCATGAAACTGATACAGTTTCATAAGCTGCTTAGATGACCAACCAGCTTACTCTAGTTCACAATAAGGTCACCTCTGGTGTAAAGAGTTGTAAAGACTCTTTTTTTCATAACAGCTGCAAATGAAGTACCATTAAGCAATATTACTTTTTTGTCTTAAGTGGGTACACTGGGTACAAATACATAAATGACTGGGTGCCAGTTTCAAAAGTGTGGCTGGAATGCTAAAAGCTGGCCTTGATTTGGGTAGTCAAAGAGTAACTAAAGCAACAAAGACATGGAACAGCTGGGAATGAACTACATTTTCTCTGACAGCTGTCTAAAATTTCCTCTAATCTAAGACCCTTTTAGGTATCCCCATGACAACCAAGTAAAGAACAGCTTTATCTTTCTTCTGTTTTGTTAGTTGCATTGGATTATGAACAATAAGCCCAAATAACAAACTTGTTTTTATAAGGAGTGGTGCATTCATTTAATAGTGACTGCCATTTTCATGTTTTAAAAGCAACAAATACAGATTGTTCGATTTTTATAACCACCGACACACCCAAAAGTTAAAAACTGAATGAGAAGCATGGTAAAAATTGAAAAGAGAAAGGAAGGGCTTTTAAAAATAATCAACCCTTGACCCCAATCTATGGAAAATCTCTGTCCTTCTGACACAGTAGTATGAATCTGAATTCTATGGATATTTTCTTTTAAAAATTCTTTTAAATTGCAATTTTAGACACACTTACTTGGGAGTAAGCCCCACTAAATTCAGCTGTACTGACTTATGAACAGGCATACTTAGGATTGCCCTAATGCTAATGTGTTATTTGTTTTGGAAGAAATTCCGTGGCATTATGCTATAGTCTTTCTAAAATCAAAGTATAACTCCCCCTAATTTTTTTCATTATCCTCCCTTCAATCTTTATTTATTTATTTATTTAAGACATTTATATCACACTTTTCCTTCTATGCATTGAAGGCAAGGTAAGAGTAAAAGAACCATAAACTCAAAAAGTAAAAAGGATCCTTTACAATTTAAAATGGAACCATTAGTGAACTAAAGCGGTAAAACTAAGTCACCTTGAATCCTCTTCTGGGGAGAAAGATGGCTTATAAATGAGACTAAATGAATAAAATAGCAAAAGAGAATTAAAAAGAAAAAAAGGAACTATATTCTTTTTCAGAAAGCAAAGACAGAATAAAAACAGCAGGTTACAAGCCAAATTCCTCTCTAAAAACTGAAGTTTTAAAAGTTCTGACTAGTAAAAATGGAGGAAATAAGTAAGGTTCCTTCATTTCCTTACTCTTTTTATACAGCCCCTCCCCGCTTTTATTTATTCCAACAAGGTTTTTGTCACCTGAAGATGGGAAAGGGATTTATAAGATATCCCTCTGTGAATGTCAGTATCAACTATGTGGTCACAACTAAGGCAAACAATTGTATTAATATGTCACACACTACCTTAAATACAGCAAACACATCCTGTTTAAAAACGCTTGTTTTGTACAGTCTCTATTGAGCAAATAGCAACAACGTCTCCCAGTATTGTGGAACTACAATACAGGCAGAAGGGAATCTCTATGAATTTAATGTCATCTATCACAACACAACCAGTCAATTTGGGGAAATATATTGAGGGTTTTTTTATCTTGGGCTCATACACACACACATCACAAAATAATACCATAACAGAAGGGTGCTGTATCTGTGTTTAAAGAAGGGGTTGTTGGCAAACAGCGCAGCTCACTTCTGCTGAAATGTACACAGCTGATATATGCAGCACAGAAAGCTGGCACCCAGGGCTTACAACCTTAATTTGCCTGCAAGAAGGAATGGAGATTTACCTTCAGAGCACGTTCTTGATTGTTTTCAGCAGTCAGATGTCTCGTGTTGTTTGCAGAAGTCTGGTTCTGCTCTTTCATATGATGAAGCTCCTGCTCTAGCCGTTTGCACTGCAACGAGGAAAGAATCCTATTAAGTAAAAGAGCTGGGCATCTCTGGATATATATTTTTTAACCTCCAGCAAACCAAATGAATTAATGTAAATAAAACTACCATGTGTAGTTGTGTGTGCGAAAATATAAGACTAGTTTCTTGAATCAAACTTCAGAATTAGAGGTGTTAAGTCTAAGAGATGTTATAACATAGACTTCAGTTGATTCATTTTCTGTGGCACAATGCTTTAGAGACAAAAATTCAAATTTAATATCTAAAGGAAAACATGGAGAAAATCTGTCATTCAAATGAAGACAAACGATCTTAATTACATATGGAAACGTATATTTGGGCCATAAAATGCTGAACTGGAAGATCAAGACACAATGTTATTCACAACTTATTAAAACAATTTTTTTAAAAAAACATCGTACTTGTTGTATAAACTGTCTGATGCAGTTTAAGGCTACAGTTACAAACAGCATGTGCTTGCCTTGATAATTAGAGTTTAATACTGAGAGGCAGAATTGTTAAGTTTCTGTATCAAACAGCCAAAACACAGGGCAAGATGCTGGGTGTCTTCAAATGGTCACCTAACCAGTTTTCAAGAAGACTCAAGAGTTAGTTGGTAGGCATCTTGGCTTAAGGGCAAAACTGGTGGTTTGTAGAAGAGGAAAGATTAGTTTTTTTAAAAAATCGAAACCAAAAAGCCAAAGAGTGACTGGGATAGGAGAACAACCACAAACGGTAAAACAAGAGAGAACAGAGCTTCTGAAAGCATAACATTTGGTGACATGAGGTTTGCACTGTAAACTTAATTGTACAAGAGTGTGTTGGTTCATGCTAGTGCCAATAACGTAGAAGCTTAACTTCTAGCGTGAAAGCTGTCAACTCAATGACACATTTCTGGACAAGTACCAGAATCATGTGGATATTCTGTCTGAATTACAGTCACTCTGTAATTCAGAGTTTAATTCACTCTGTAATTCAGAATTTTTATAAGCACATGCATATTCAATTTTTTTAATTTTTAAGTAAAACTTTTTCCAATGAGTAATGAAATTGTAATATTAATGACACAGCAATATAAGCAGTTTATGAGGAAGCCAGATAGAGAACACCAATAAATAAGATCAGGCTTTTGTCAAAACAATGATATATTTTCCTCTTGAAATATTCACGTAAGCAATAGCCAGATGTGCAGGCTGGCTAGAGTCCAATGTGCAGTTGCAAATGTTCATGCCTTACTAAATCACTAAATCACTTACTAAGTGTGACTCAATCATGCTTAACTATGAACTAAGCTGGAATAATTATATATTTTATTTACCATGCACTGGACCCATCATTTTCTCCCACTAGCAGGATCACTTTCCAAATACAGTTTTGTTCAGGACATGCCAGCCAATGTAAAAGGAAATGGAAGGGATTTTTGCCAAATTGTGCTCCTATGCAGCAGCCCTTAGCACCTCTCATCTACGTCTGGATGGTACCTTAACACTCCAGAAGGGACAGAGCAGAGGAAGATCAATGAAAATGGCCTCTTACATCAATGGAAGTGAAAAGTATTCTGTGAAAAGTATTCTCCACGGGAGACAACTTCATTCATTCAGTACTTCTCAAGCCAAGCCTCCTGGAGTGCTGTGTTAGAAAATGTATGAATGCAAATACCCAGGAGATTCAACTTTATATGGTAGGGATGGCTAGGAAACAAACACCTAGAAAGAATGTTTCCAATACTACTTTCAAATGGAAGTATCAACACTGGGATGTAAATTCAGGCAACTGACTCACAAGATAGGGAATATGCTGTCCTCCAAAAGTAATGGTTATCATAGCTACTTATTCAGAACATTGTTTCAGATACAGATGTGATTTCAAGTGTCTTCATCCTTCAGCATGGGCTGCACTAGATAGGGCTGATGAGATTTGCAATCCACCTACCTCTGAGTGAACCCTCTAAGTAAACAATGATGACGACTACTACTAATTTGTGTGCCATCAAGCTGATTCTAATTTATGGCAGACTTTTCCAGTATTTTTCTGGATATAAAGTACTCAGAAGTGGCTTACCACTCCCTTCTTCTTAGAGTGCAGTTTGCCCAAGGTCACTTAGGGTGGCTTTCCTCCTACAAGGAATGCTGGGGAATCAGAATCTTGACCACTGGCTCTAAAACCAGATGCTCCAACTCAGTCAGGTGTGCAATCAGTTATTATTATTGCTATTATTATTAGCCTCAGGATTCTCCTAGATAATAATCCTGGACTGATTTTCAAAGGATGGCAGGATAGTTCTTTCTTTTCCACAAATAAATTGTATTATAATATATAATAAACAATATAAAACAAAAAATAATACAAAAGTCTCTCCTACAAATAAATTTTGCTATAATAATAAAATAATACCGAAATTACTGTTTTTCTGTTTATTCTCTTTAAAAATAAAGTTATAATTTGGGACTGTTCTATTTCTCTCTCAAGCTCTGCAGTAGCCAACCTAAAGAAGGGTTTTGCTGGCCTTGAAAGCCTGGCTGTTTCTAATATTTACAGGTCCCATAAAAGTATTGCCCACCGTTATGTTTGGATTTTGTACAAGGACCATACAGCTTTTCCTCTTTTTCATGTGCACCTAAGCAGTTTCTCTCCAGGTGCTTGCAGACAGAGTCTATCCAGAATCACAGTGTAGATTTCAAGCTAACAGATCCACCATTGACATGACATTTTCCCTCAGACAGTTGCAGGAGAAATGTAGGGACCAACGAGAGCCACTCTGTGGCCTTCATAGATCTCACAAAGCCCTTTGATTTGGTTAGCAGGGAGGGCCTTTTTAAAATACTTCCACAGATTAAATGTCCACCTCGACTCCTTAAAATCATCAAGTCCTTTCATGAGGAAATGAAGGGCACTGTAGTTTTTGATGGCTCAAAATCAGAGCCCCTTGACATTCGAAGTGACATCAGAGCCCCTTGACATGCCAAGTGATATCCCTGTTTGGGATCCTTTTTGTTGTCATGCTGAAGCACGCCTTTGGAACTGCAACAGAAGGTGTCTACCTCCGTACTAGATCAGACAGAAAGCTCTTTAATCTCTCTAGATTGAGAGCGAAGACCAAAGTCCAGCTGAAATGCATGCGGGACTTCCTCTTTGCTGATGATGCAGCCGTTATTGCCCATTCTGCTGAAGACCTCCAACAATTCATGAATCATTTTAGTAAGGGCTGCCAAGACTTTGGACTAGCAATCAGCCTGAAGAAAACACAAGTCATGGGCCAGGGCGTGGACTCACCTCCCTCTATTACCATCTCCACACAAGAATTGGAGGTTGTTCATGACTTTGTGTACCTTGGCACAATCTCTGACCCTCTCTCCCTAGATACTGAGCTGGATAAATGCACTGGCAAAGCAGCTACAATGTTCTCTAGACTCACAAAGAGAGTATGGCTTAATAAGAAGCTGACAGCATATACCAAGATCCAGGTCTATAGAGCCTGTGTCCTGAGTACACTCCTGAGTACTGCAGTGAGTCTTGGACCCTTTGTGCATGGCAGGAGAGGAAGCTAAACATGTTTTATATATGTTGTCTCTGACCCATTTTTGGCATCACCTGGCAGGACAAAGTTCCAAATAGAGTAGTCCTAGAACGAGCTGGATTTTTTTGCATGTATACATTACTGAAACAGTGACATCTATGTTGGCTCAGGCATGTTGTGAGAATGGCTGATAGTCGGATTCCAAAAGATCTCCTGTACGGAGAATTATGCAAGGAAATCACCCAAAGGGAGACCACAGCTGCGTTACAAGGACATCTGCAAGTGGGATCTGAAGGCCTTAGGAATGGACCTCAACAGATGGAAAACCCTGACATCTGAGCATTCAGCCTGGAGGCAGGCAGTGAATCTTGGCCTCTCCCATTTTGAAGAGACACTTGTCCAGCAGGCCGAGGCAAAGAGGCAGTCCCGAAACCAGCAAAATCAGGGAGCTGGACAGGGGATAGATTGTATTTGTCTTCCGTGTGGGATTGTCACTCTCAAATTGGCCTTCTCAGCCACATTAGACACTGTTACAAGTCCTTTATTTAGAGCACGTTACCATAGTCTCTCAAGACTGAAGGATGCCTAATCAAGCAGTTTCTAAAGGAGGAAGTTACTGTTAAGAATGGCACTAATTTCCATTGGTAGACCAGTCACTTCTGAAGCATCCATCAAATACACAAGTTTCGTCTAGTAGGAGATGAGAAATATCCCTCAGTTATCACCTTTTAATTCTACTTCCCTCATCTGAAAATGTGCTAATAGCAGATACCCATGCCTACTTGTGGGACATAGCAAATCCATCCAGCTCATATCTGGTTTGGGATTATCTTGTCTCTTGTTTATCCTTCTGCTAGGACTACAGAAGAAAGGTGGGACTGCATTCCTACGATAGGTTGTCTGCTATCAAACATGAGAAGGGATGCTTTAGCATTGTGGGGAAAGTATTCTGATTCTCACCAGCTCTGAACTCCTAGCTACAGATAAACCTATCTTCCATGAATTTGTTTAAACCTTTTAACGCAATCTAACCTTGTCTAAGACAAAATACTGCCATGCTCAATTTATTGCCTGTTCTTTGCCTTATATTTTTACAACATTTTAAATTCTTAGTTTCTGAGTTTCGATTACATACTTGGCTATTCATGGGAAATTCTCCCATATGATATACTGCATGGCCAATCAAATTACAGCATTTAGAATAAAAGGGGCAACGGATGAAACTCTACCTTTTGATGACAGGGAGAGCTTGCTTCATGTCCCTTCTAGACACAAACCTACAGGTGCTCCTTCCTGCCAAACTCAAGCTAAACAGACATTTGGCAGCAGTGCTTAAGAAGCAGTTGACTCTCCCATTCTACAGGGCTGTTGGATGCTGCATTCACAGTGATGCTTCTTGAGTATAGATGATATAAGAATTGTTATTTATTTATTTATTGTGCACACTCCAGCAAAAACACACAAAGTGGTAGAAGACATGCTGTTATA